AAGGCGAGATTCCCCGAGATTCCCCGAGATTCCCCGAGATTCCCCGAGGTTCCCCGAGATTCCACGAGGCGTGGGAGGAGATCGCTAAGGCGGCCGCAATGCATGGCCCTCTCTGCCGCGTCTCTCTCTCTCCTGCCCTCTCTGTCGCGTCTCTCTCTCTCCTGCCCTCTCTGACAGCGTCTCTCTCTCTCTCCTGCCCTCTCTGCCGCAGCACTCTCTCTCTCACTGCCCTCTCTGCCGCGTCTCTCTCTCTCCTGCCCTCTCTGCCGCGCCTCTCTCTCTCCTGCCCACTCTGCCGCGTCTCTCTCTCTCCTGCCCTCTCTGCCGCGTCTCTCTCTCTCCTGCCCTCTCTGCCGCGTCTCTCTCTCTCCTGCCCACTCTGCCGCGTCTCTCCTGCCCACTCTGCCGCGTCTCTCTCTCTCCTGCCCTCTCTGGCGCGTCTCTCTCTCTCTCCTGGCCTCTCTGGCGGCCTCTCTCTCTCTCCTGCCCTCTCTGCCGCGTCTCTCTCTCTCTCCTGCCCTCTCTGCCGCGTCTCTCTCTCTCCTGCACTCTCTGCCGCGTCTCTCTCTCTCTCCTGCCCTCTCTGCCGCGTCTCTCTCTCTCCTGCCCTCTCTGCCGCGTCTCTCTCTCTCTCCTGCCCTCTCTGCCGCGTCTCTCTCTCTCTCCTGCCCTCTCTGCCGCGTCTCTCTCTCTCTCCTGCCCTCTCTGCCGCGTCTCTCTCTCTCTCCTGCCCTCTCTGCCGCGTCTCTCTCTCTCCTGCCCTCTCTGCCGCGCCTCTCTCTCTCTCTCCTGGCCGCCTCTCGTTCTCCTTACCGCCGCCCTGCTGCCCTCACCGCATACACGTAGATACAATGCATTAGCATCGCACGACATGTCCTCGTATAGATAGGGCTTACCATGGCTATCTACCCCCCCCCCCCCATACACACACACACACACACATATCTTCAGCATATTAAGAAATCATATTACGAGAATCTCCTCTCCTCCCAGGGCGCGCGCTACATCTCCCCATATCTCCCCATATCTCCCCATATCTCCCCATATCTCCCCATATCTCCCTCCCAGGGCGCGCGCTACATCTACGTGGCTCGCGACCCGGTCGACGCCTTCCTCTCCTGCTACGAGCACCTGCCCGCGTACGCCAACCTGCCCGATCTCGGGTAATCTCGGGTAATCTCGGGGAATCTCGCAGGCACCTGCCCGCGTACGCGAACCTCCTCCCTGGCGACCTCGAGCCGCAGCAGTTCGCGGACGCGAGATTCCCCGAGATTCCCCGAGAGTCCCCGAGAGTCCCCGAGAGTCCCCGAGATTCGACGAGATTCACAGAGATTCCCCGAGATTCGACGAGATTCACCGAGATTACCCGAGACCGAGATTCACAGAGATTCACAGAGTTCCCCGAGATTCACCGAGATTGACCGAGATTGACCGAGATTCCCCGAGAGTACCCGAGAGTACCCGAGATCGTGATCTCGACTGCAGGCGCTGTTCGCCGGCGCCGCGCGCGCCGGCCAGATCTGGCCGCACTTTCTCGGCTGGTGGAAGCAGCGCCGCAACCCGGACGTGCTCTGGGTGTTTTGTATCTCGGCTATATCTCGGCTGTGTCTCGGCTATATCTCGGCTGTATCTCGGCTGTATCTCGGCTATATCTCGGCTATATCTCGGCTATATCTCGGCTGTATCTCGGCTGTATCTCGGCTGTATCTCGGCTGTATCTCGGCAGGTGTTTTACGACGACCTGCACGCGGTGAAGACTTCCTTCCTGAAGTCACTTCATGATTCAGACAGACACCGACACGTGGCCTCACGCAAGTCTGAATAGCTCGAGTGATCTTGACTACTCTCCCTAATGAACTAGGACCTGCCCGGCTGCATCGCGAGAGTGGCAGAGTTCCTCGGCCTCGCGGAGAGCGAGCCAGCGGCGCTAGAAGCGGAACCTCTCCCCACCTCCTCCCCCCCTCTCCCCACGTCTCCCCACCTCTCCCCACCTCTCCCCACCTCTCCCCACCTCTCCCCACCTCTCCCCACCTCTCCCCACCTCTCCCCATCTCTCCCCATCTCTCCCCATCTCTCCCCATCCCTCCCCATCTCTCCCCATATCTCCCCACATCTCGGGCCCTAGAAGCGGAATATCTCCCCCATATCTCCCCATATCTCCCCACATCTCGAGGCCCTAGAAGCGGAAGACGTGTTCATGTCTCCCAACCAGCGCCCCGAGCTGCCTGCTGCTGCCGGGGCCGCCTCACAGCTGCTCTTGTGGGAGGAGACCCCAGGGAGGGGAGGGCAAGGGAGCGGAGGAGGAGGAGGCAACGGGGATGCCAAGAGAAGAGAGGGAGGGGGAGGGGGAGGGAGAGGGGAAGGGGGCGGAGGGGAGGAGCAGCGTGAGCAAGACCCGAGCCCCCGCGAGCTTCAGAGCGGAGAATGGGGAGATGTGGGGAGATGTGGGGAGATGTGGGGAGATGTGCCCCCGCGAGGTTCACAGCAGGGTGAGAAGAAACAAGAGCCTCGCATGCGACGACAGTGAGGGTGTGAGAGACAGACCCAGGGTCTTTCACTACCTTTCACAGCGGAGTGGCCGGGGGCTGTACCAGACAGAAGACTCGAGAGGACATGTGCAGTACCGCACCCGTCGTACTCACGCGGTGCTCTGAGGACACTGCACAGTCCCGCCTCCCCGCCCCGAGGCTGGCGTGTTCATCTCTCCCCGCATCTCTCCCCGCCCCGAGGCTGGCGTGTTCATCTCTCCCCGCCCCCGAGGCTGGCGTATTCATCTCTCCCCGCCCCGAGGGCTGGCGTATTCATCTCTCCCCGCCCCGAGGCTGGCGTGTTCATCTCTCCCCGCCCCGAGGCTGGCGTGTTCATCTCTCCCCGCCCCCGAGGCTGGCGTATTCATCTCTCCCCGCCCCGAGGCTGGCGTATTCATCTCTCCCCGCCCCCGAGGCTGGCGTGTTCATCTCTCCCCGCCCCGAGGCTTTCGTGTTCATCTCTCCCCGCCCCCGAGGCTGGCGTATTCATCTCTCCCCGCCCCGAGGCTGGCGTCTTCATCTCTCCCCGCATCTCTCCCCGCCCCGAGGCGGGCGTGTTCATCTCTCCCCGCATCTCTCCCCGCCCCCGAGGCTGGCGTGCTCGGCACGTAGGCCGGCCACGCTAGAGCGCACCGCCGCGCTCTGCTCCTTCGACTTCATGTCTGCCGCCGACAACGCGCCGCACTTTGACGACCACTTCGTGCGCGGGCAGCGCCGCCGTTGCACGCCGCCGTGGCGCGTCGGCGACGCGTCCAGCGAGGCCGTGTTTCGGGGACGTAGGCACGTGCTGAGATACAGCCGAGATACAGCCGAGATATAGCCGAGATACAGCGGAGATACAGCGAGGCCGTGTTTCGGGGACGTAGGCACGTGCTGCCGCGGATGGGATTGCCGCGGGACCTGCCGGCGCGCGTCTCAAAGGTGTGCCGCGGCTGTATCTCGGCTGTGTCTCGGCTGTATCTCGGCTATATCTCGGCTATATCTCGGCTATATCTCGGCTGTGTCTCGGCTGTGTCTAAGCTATATCTCGGCTGTATCTCGGCAGGTGTGCCACGGCGTCGTCGGCAGAGGCGCGCGCGAGCTGCCCGCCGGCGTCGTCGAGCGGCTGGCGGCGCGCTGGGCAGAGACGATGGTCTCCGAGACGGGGTGCAGCAGCTACAGCGAGCTGCGAGAGGCGTACTCGCACGAGCGACCGCTGACGCCCGACACGGCCTTCACCTATGGCCTGCAGGCGCCCCCCCTGCCACGATCGTGTCACCCTCGCAGCCTCGCCGGCTGTAGGCGTACGCGCCCGACCGCCCGCGCTTCTCGGCCTCGTGGTTCTCGCTGCCAAACAGCCTGAGCCCCGCCAGCAGCGGCAGCCACTGACGCGCCCGCCCCCGCGAGGCCCGCGGCTCCTTTTCAGCCTCGAGACCTCGGGACGCGCCGGTGCCTCGACGCGTCGAGATGGAGGCGACGGAGCGACGGGCCTCGGGCTCGGCCACCAAATTGAGGGGACCGCCGGAGCAGCCGCAAAGGATGTTGCGCGCCCCTTCGGGTCCGTGCCCCCAGGTTTCACGCAGCTCGCTATGTTGCCGCGGCGGGCGCCTATGTAAAATTGCGCTGAAATCATGGCTGAAATCAACTCGGGTGATAGACGACGGCCCCATGCCCTACGAAGACGTAAGTAAGAGAGACAGAGAGAAAGAGAGAGTTTTTTGGCAAAAATACATTTTGGTACCTTTTTTGTATTGTATTCCTACGGGGTGTGGAGGGTGAGTTGACCAAGGGGTTGTGCGCCGGGCCCTCCTGCTCGGCTCCAGCCGGTAGACAAGTGTTGTCATCAACAGAGTAGATGGATCTGACCTCGGGGCCGATGTGACCAAGCGCTGGTACCGTGGTTTGACCTCACACCCATGGTCTCATAGTGTGCCGGCAGTCGCCGAGCACCGAGCAGTGTCGCTCACACAAGCCGCAGCACAAGTGACTGAGGGCCAGTGAGGGCGAGCCCATCGGTGTGACAGCTATGGCAGCCGCACAGTAGGCTGTGTCAACTGTGCAGAGTGTGTGAGCAGCAGAGGAGCTGCTCTCCAGGCTTCAGGCGCAAAGAGCTGCATGCCACCGAAAGCGCTGTCGAGGTTCGCTGAGCGCGGCGCAGGTTGAGGGACACCGTCACCGACGAGTGCGTTGGACTTTTCACTCCAGACAAAGACGGGTACACGCACACGAGCCGCGGTCGTGTGGCCGTCTTAGCGGCGAGGCGCGGGACCGTCTGACCTTCGCTTGCGGGATATTGGGATACTTGGCCAAGGGCCGTGTGCAGGTAGCATGCAGTAAAAATACTTGGTTTGGGTATCTGAAATTCTGGAATATTGCGCCACCGCACCTTGGAAACTGGGATACTGGAAACATGATTTTCTCCAACTCAAAACGGCGCGGCTGGGATGATCCCAGACTGTCCACGACAAGACCGAGACACGCGAGCGACCCACGATGATGGGCAAACTACGGCTCTCCTTGGCCAAGAACGCCGGTGCCGGTAAGGGCACCGTCAGCAGCGTCGTGCTCGTCGAGCCGCGGCACGACGAGATCGCAAAAGCGGCCAACAACAAGCTCAACCTCAGGCTCAAGAGCACCCGCAACGTGCGGCTATTTCTCAAGCAGAGGGTGGGCGTGCACGCGGCTGGCACCGAGCTGCCGGTTGGCGACTGTACAGACTACCTCGCCAACGACGTTGTCGTGCTGGTGAGCGTCGGCGAGGCCGCGGCCAGCCGACCCGCCTCGAGCTTTTGCGGCCTCGACAGGGCGGCGCTCCCGCCGCTGCCACGCTGGCCCGCAAGCGACACTGGCGACGACGAGACAGACGAGGCGGTGGAGGCCACGCCAGCATCCGCCGGACCGTCATCATCAGCAGTTTCTACAACAAGCTTCGCCGTGCCGAATCTGCCGCGGCTACCCGTCTCTCAGGACCTGCGCTTCCACGGCCGGCACGTCGTGCTCGAGGGCGACGTCCTGCCGCTGATCCGGCAGGCGGTCGCGGGCTGCAGCGGCTTCTCCGAGACCAACCACGGCCGCTACGTCGCCTTCGACTACAGCGCCGACCGCGGCGGCGGCGGCGTCGCCGGCATGTTCCCGCCGCCCGAGCGCCACCACCGCGGCTCCCGCGAGCGCTGGTTCGCCGCGGCACGGCGCGAGTGCCGCGGGCTTCTGCTCTGCGCGGCAACGGGCGCCGTGTTGGCGCGGCGCTTCCACAAGTTCTGGAACATCGACGAGGTGTCCGAGGCGGCGGCGGAGCACGTGGGCCCGCTGCGCCGCGGCCGCTGCTCGCTCCATCTGAAGCTCGATGGGTCGCTGGCGTCGCCGCTGCTGCTGCCCACGGTTGCCAGCGCCGCAGACGGCGGCACTGGCAGCGACGAGGCTGGCAACGACGCGCGTGGCGGCAGTGCTGGAGTAGGTGGTGACCTGGTCTGGGCGACGCGCGGCCTTCTGAGCGACGCGATCGCGCGGCACGTGGCGGCGGCGGCGAAGCGCGGCGAGCGGCACAGCCAGCTGGCACGCACGTGGCTGGGGCGCGGCTACACGCCGCTGTACGAGTGGTGCGAGGCGCGGCGGGCGGCGGGGCAGGTGCAGCACGCGCGCGACGGC